CTCCCTATCAGAATCAAACTGCACAATTCAAGACCGTGCGGAGTTATCCTGAATTTGCCACATCTAAGTGACTGTGAAGTGCACCAAGCAGGATGAAAGAAAGAAAAAATGGCAAAGTTGTGACCATGACTAGGACTGAGGAGAATAAAAGGAGACAAAGACAGTGTGGCCAAAACTGGGGGGAAAAAAAAAAAACAAACCCAAGAAAAAGACATATTAATACTGTATATTTTTTATTATTATATTTGCTTTCATCTTTGAACTTTATTAAAGAAGGAATGTTCAAGATCCATAGTATTTTTCAAATGCATTATGCATACAAATTTAGAATATCCTGAGTCGGAAGGGTCATGGAGCCCAAACAGGCCCACACCCTCCCTGCAGTCCCCCTTCGCACCCCCTCCCAGCACACCAGCCCCCGGGAACAAGTTCTCTCCCCAAAACCATACCAGAGCCCACTGAAACCACAAGGTCTGGCTTTTATGCCCCTTTTACACCATCTGCCACAACTGAAAGGACTCTGGCTGGCTCCTCTGTACTTGCAACAGCCCTTTAAGTAGCTGCAAATTTCACGGGCCCAGCTACATCAACCTCTAACCTTTACTTATCCTCAATAAAAAGCATTGATTTGAAATAAATTCACAGAATAGTTAGCTGGTGGTTGGAAAGGAGCTTTGGAGATCATCTAGTCCAACCACGCCACCAATGTAGGGTCACCTGGAGGTGACGCAGGAAGTGTCCAGATAGGTTTTTGTCTTGAATGTCTCTGGAGAAGGAGACTCCACATCCTCTCTGGGAAGATGTCCCAGTGCTCTGCCACCCTCAATGTAAAGAAGTTCTTCCTCATGTTATGGAGAAGTCTGGTTGTTCATTACAACTGAAGTCAAAGGCGGTCAGCTTGTGTAGCCATTTATACTTATAAGTAGGTAAACAGAATAACCACTGGTCTATAACAAGCAAAACAGAGTTTACTTTATTGATTTTTTTTTTGTAGCAGTAGAAGGACCACATTTTTGCAATATTTTTTCAAGAATGGTTCAGTTCTTGTGACTTTAATACATACGGAAATAATTCTGCATTTAACATGAATGACAGTTCCATAAAAATGTGAAACAAATAATTGCTAATTCTGTGGAAGACCTGTCTTGCACTGCTGCTTACACTACTGTCCTTACTCTTAAAATAATCTAAGCCTAATATAAAAACCTCTGAACCCAGGAATAAACCATAACAAACTGTTAACCACTGAAATCTACAAAAACATTACCTAAGCAAACCACTTGGATAACAATAACAGGTATTTTTTGTCAACTGCTTTACAGAATTAGATAAAAATGTGATGGTATATTGCAAAGCATGAAAATCAACGCTAAAATGCTTTGTTATTTTTATTTCTGTGCAAAATGTAAATGGCTGAAACAAATTATCAACATGCCAACCCTAGAATTAAAAAAAACCCCAACAAATTAAATTATTAGACAGCGCATTAAGTGCAAAAGCTGCTCCATGTGCTTAGATCTAGCTTTGGCTTCAATTTGGAATGAAGTAATGTGTAGAAATGCGTCTCCTTTTTTCCCTGTGAGAACAGTCAGGCACTGGAACAGGTTGTGCAGAGAGCAGTAAAGCAGTGCCTGTCCTTGGAAGTTTTCAGACCAGGCTGGATACAGCCCTGAGCAACATGGCCTAACATAATACCTAATCCTGCAGTGACTGGACTAAAAACTACCTGAGGTCACTTCTAACAGGAATTATTGTATTCTGACATAGTATTGTGACAGAACTAATCCTAGTAACAATCTACAAGCATTTCTGTTTGAAGGTTCACCATCACTTATTTCCTTAGACAAAATACCCCCAAATGGTATCTGATAATTTACAAGCAAGCCTGCATTAGAAACCAAACTTCGTTGAAACTAAGTTAGACTCTTACACTATCAGGTGTCGAGAGCCTGAAGTATAATTCAGCAAGGACCTTAAAAAAAAAGAAAACAGACTAAAAAGTGTACAAAACCTTATTTCTGGACATCAAGCATCTTTTTAATATACATTTTACATTAAGTATACTGTGAGAATGATAAAGATCTAATTTTTGATGAACCATCAAGTGTATCTTTACACTGGGAGCAAGAACCTCCTAATCATTTTTGCATTCTTCATGGACTGAACGCAGTGCATTGAGGGCTTCCACTGTCACTGTGAGCTTTCCAATTACTGCACTGGCATCTTGTGAATCAAAAACTAGAAAGGAAACATCAGAAAACAGCATTAGCTATTCAACTTAAGATTTCACTTTTGTTTTGGTAGTTTTCTTTAGTGTTTGGACAGATTAAAGAGCAACTAGCATATGCTAAAAAAAAGGGAGAGATAAATAAATAATTGTGCAGTTCAGGCCCTCAGACTACTGGAAATTAACCACTCCTAGAAGTAGAATATACATCAGTAAATGTATTTGCATTAAAATTAATTTAGAAAGGAAATATCAATATAATAATTGTTTATATAAAATAATTATTTTTCACAATATGTAAATAAAGATTTTCCAAATTCTATTAAACTTATATCTACATACAAAGGAATAGTTTTAAGTAAAAATACAGCAATTAATGCTTCTACACTGTGTATGATGGATGGGTCCAAATCAGCCTCAACAAATCACTCAGTGAACTGTCAACTTCAAGAGCAGACTTCAGGGGACAGTATCCTTTTTACTTAAAAGAAGAGTAGGATAATTATAGTTAATTATATCAGAAGATAACACTAATTCTATTTTCTCCCTTTTATATTGTCCTATTATCTCTGAGACATACTGTTAGATGTTTTTACTACAATATTTTTCATCCATCTTCTTGCTTAGCCATTCATTTACTTGCTTCAAATTTCACATAAACCGCTTTGACACAATCAGCAAGGAAAAGAACAAAATATGAGAAAGATATATGGTTGCAATCCTCAAAAAGAATAAAGGAAGTTTGGTATCTAACTTAAGATTGACTTTATATTTATGCAGTAGTGTCCTATGAATTTCCCTGTGTCTAGGTTTATTATTTTTCCTTAAACCAATATCCAACTCAGAGAACGTGTACAACACTACTTAGCAATTCTGTTTATTGTGCCCTTACATTTAATCGACATCTTTGTTCAGATCTGGAGAATTAATCCTTTTACAATTACTTCATCTAAGAAAATATACAGATACATTATTTTGCCATGATCTGACATATTTTAACATAAATTTAATTTAAATCCTCTGAAACATCTTAATTTTCAGACAATATAGAAGTTTATATGTTATGGATGCAATGAAAATCCCCAAAAAACTGTACAGCATATGCAGGAAAGGGGAGAAATGCAGAAGGGAAAAAGAATAAAAGTATTTCTAGCTATTATTATCATTTTCATATATATAATTAACATAAAGTAAAAATTGGTTTAAATTAGTCTGACAGTTACGGGAAGAAATGCTCCTCACAATATTTCAGTAGTTGTCATTACATGGTAATGATTAGCTTACAGTAACTAGTAATAAAACTCAATCCTTCTCGTCCTAATAACTCTCTCAGATGATGATTAGGAATTTTAAGAGTTTTGTGAAAAGTGACTTTTAAGAATTATGTTTACCTAACTAATCAATCTTATCAAATGGGAATTATGACAGGGGGAGGTATGGTCATAAATTCCAGAACAAAAATCAATCTTCCAGTGAGAGAGTACAAAATACATTTTTGGAGAAGCTTTTGTACTTGGAGAAAAATTATTGGTGGAGAAAAGCTTAAGTTCCTCAGCCTGAGCAGGAAATGCATCACCTCTGCATATTATTCTTCCTGAGTATGGAAATTTGATGATTCTTAGAATTTTCCTTATTGCGATCCTGTAAATTTGAGTATTTTAGCAACAGCGTGGATGCAAATCATGCATGATAATGGGAATGGATAAGAAAGCGTATTTTTTTCCCTCATTACTCAGCTCCCTATTGCTCAAGTACAGGAATTAGACACAACAGTAGAAGTAGTAAAGTTACATTTCCTTGGCATTCTGCTGGGGCTCACTCGAACTCTTGCTATTGCAAAAGGAACCTTGTGAACATGGGTGCTCTGCATCCAATCACTGAACTAGTTCACTTACTGGGAGAGTTACTCTTTTACAAGAGAGGTGCTTTCAGCTTCTTCACTGAGCTTCACCCCAGGGGGGAAAGCGGATTGAGAGGAAAAAGGAAAGAGAAAAGTGCACCATTGGTAATCGTGTCTCTGCTGCCATGGGGAACAGGAAACTGAGCAAGGAGAATATTATCTTCACAAATAGTTGACAAAAGGACCAAAAAGCCTTCTTGAGTCTTCTTATCAATGTTATAAAAACGCATCCTATGACCTTAGGAAAAGGAAGATTCCACACATCACCTTGCTCTAATGGAGTCACAATGACTTTGGTCAGTCTGTCACAGAAGGGTGCTCACTAAAACTGATTCCTAATCAAAACCAACAGTATTTCACATTGTATCATACATATTTCATATGGAGGAAACAAACTTGAGGTACTCGGGGCCATAACGTAATTTCAAATAAAATACAGATGTTAGTAATACCAAATTGCTGACGAAAATTTTAATACAAAACAAATTTTTATACAAAATACATGTTTATTGTTATACCACAATGAAGTATGTTGTAGAAAAGACAGAATTATAGCAGTGGACATAGCTTGAAAGTTCTTGGGTTTCATAAACTAATTTCTATGAGGTGAGAATGCTATTTGGTTTGGGTTTTTTTTTTTTTAAACTTAAGGGAATAATACTAATAGATAGTTTTTGCAGACTTCTGCAAACAAATATAGAAGTTATTAGTTAGTATTAAATAATTCCTTATTGAAACAATTACTTGCACAGTAATGCCTGCAAAGCAAAGTAGAAATTAAATGAATTTTAGGCTACAGAAGTTTACAAGAAAATGATCTTTAAAACTTACCATCAATATCTTGCTCAATGATATCTCTTTGCTTCTGGAATATCTCTTTTAAACTGACATAAGCAAATCCAATGTCCTCACATTCAAGATCCTGCTCATCTTCTGGAGGATCACTGACCACTGTAAATTTTAGGCTAAACACACATGCACAAAAAAAAAAGGTATTTTGCTTTCAAAAAGGGTCATAAATCAAATTACAAAAAATGAAAAGAGAAAAACCACAATTTTACAAGTTTAAAATGGAGAAACATCCTTGGTGTTAAGGGCAGAATATTTCCATAAATTTTGTTTCTTGGTGGTCCTCTTGATACAAAAAAATGGGAAACTGGACTACTGATGAACTTCTGCCTTCCTATTTATTCAATACAGAACTGAAATTTCAGCACAAGCCAAACCAGACATTCTGATATCTGCAGGAAACTACCTACTTGTAACACAGGGGACAGTAATGTAAGAAATGAATGCTTCTGTTCTGAGAAAAAGCTCACTGCTGTTATTTTACCTTATTTTTACCTCAGCCAGGGGAAGGACACTCAGAGATACAGGCTGGAGCCAGTAACTCCCAGACTTTGGGAACAGCCAGGTGAGGGACACTTCACAATGTGGCAGGAGCCACAGACTGTCCTGTGAGGGTGTGAAAGCCGAGAGGTTCCTTTGTTCAGGGTCCTTACTCTGAGGCTCCAACTTGAACTGTTACTGTCTTATTTAATTACTGCACCAAAACCTTATTTTAAGGATTGGAACCTCTAAGTGACTGGACACCTGTGCTGGAGTTGGTGAAGGCAACTGGTCTGACTGGGACAGTTGTGGGAGGTGTAGCTGCCAAGGGACCTCAGTCCCAGATCAGGTGGTGAAGTGAAACTGCCACAGTGGTCCTGGATAGTTGGACAGGGAAATTTATTTAGCAACTAAATTATCTGTCAGGGAAATAAAAAGGAGTATTTTATCCTCATTATTGTTAAATCTTAGTAAAACATGCTTTAGTAGAATATGTTTAGCAATGTTCCTGATAGAGATGCCAAATAAGAAATATAGAAGGAAGAAAGATCACTCTCTCTTTCTTAGAGTGAATCGGTGATTTGTGCATAAGATTTACAAATTACTCTGATGCTTCAAATGCAATCAGCAGGTATCCTAGTCTTCTGTAAATGGAATGGATCTTTAAATTAATAGTTGTTCCATTTTAATGAATATTGATATTCAAGAAGAAACAGAATCAAAGTATGTCATTCCTTCTCTCCAAGTAATACACATGGCTATCTCAATGAAAAAAAATTAATAAGAACAAATTTATTACTATAAAATTGACCAAGTCTAATTTCTAGTCTTTCTCGTATGTATTCATATAATAGATGTCTGCTACATCCATATATACACACATATACTTTTTTTTACTTTAAATTCTGGGGCCAAGGAACACTTCCTGCAGTTCTTAAGACTTCTTTTAGTATTCTGAATTCAAAAAGCAACAAATGTACTACTCTACCATCGCACAGATACGTGCTTTTCAAATTCATTACTGATAGACTACTGATGATAGATTCTAGAAACTCTGTTTTGTAAAACAAAGTTGTTTAAAAAAAAAACCACCAACAAAAGAAACAACCTCCTCCCAGAATTAAACCACAGCACTAAACAAACATTAGATAAGTTTGTAATATTCCATTCCATATGCACCTACTCGGAGAAGAAATAAGACCAGCAGCAGCCAGATCACAATGCAGGCATCATTCCTAGCCGAAACAATTATTTTTTTCTTGTTAGTTATGCATTAACTACTTAGGATTACCTCGTCAATAAAGACAAATAAAAAGACAAATCATGAGCATTTTTTACAAAGACCTATAATAGAGGTTTTTAGTATTAATCTGTACCTGTCAGCAGGTAGATCTGGCTTTAGAAGAATTGACTTGAGATACTCTCTTTCTGCATGATTATCTTCCTTATCTACATTTATCGCTGCAAAACAAATAAATTAATATAACTGGTTATCAATTGTTTTTCACCTAGTAGAAGAAAAAAACATTTTTCACCTATTAGAAGAAAAGAACAAAATAAAATAAATGTTTATTTCATTTTCTTTTCTAAGGAAAAACAACAATGTTAGAATCAAATGTTAGAATCATGATCTACTGGTGTGTCACTGGCAGGTTTATATGAACACTGTCAAAAAAGATACAAAAGCAGAATCTAAGCATGTCACAGAGCTGCCACTTTCTATTAACGACAATAGCAGCCATGATTTTAAAAGCCATGATTTTAAAAGGGTCTTTACTGCTTTGTATTTGAAGTGATTTACTGTATTTTCTTCCACTAAGGAAGCTGGAGATAATGAGAATGTATGGCAAAGTGCTTATCCTTTTTGACAGCCTCAGTAATTCAATCCTCCTTTCCTGCCGCAGTATTTCAATAGAAGAAATCTTCAGACCAATGGACTGGAAAAAATCTGTCATTTATATTCCCTCTCAAGTGGGCAATGCCAACATAGCAGTTGTTGATGTGACATTTCAGATTAATTTCAATCTTCAGCTACACATGGAACAATCCAATAGTCTATGAGTAAGAGGAAGATCTAAATGAGTGAATTATTTGGGAAGTTGCATTCTAAAACCAGGTTTGTAGATGGCAGCAATTTTAAAGATCTGACTAAGACACCGTTTCTGCAAAGCCACTTTTACGTAATTATTTTTAAAAGAATGCTTAATTTGAATGTCTGTACTAAGGGTTTGTCACAAATAGCAATAACCCCAACCCTAACCCTGATTCACCCACTACAGAATAATCTCAGCTAAAAGTCCAAGACTGAAGCACTCAGGCACTTGGAATCTTAAAAGAAAGAAAATTCTACCAGAAAGAAGAAGTTAATTGAAATATGATGACATAGCTGCGGAAATAATTAACAAGAGAATTTTAAATTATTACAATAGTTCTATGTACGCCAGTAGAGTAAATATAAAGTATTAATTGGCAATGTATTAGTATGAAACAAGGATTAATTAGTTCCCCTATTAAAAAGTTGTCATTAAAAGAACACTGAGTATTTGCAAGTAGTGATGAAGTCCAATTACATATTCTCTCTTTTCAACTAGGTTTTAGATGTACAGGTTAGAATGTTTTCCTTTTGCTAAGATGTATCATCATGTACTGACAGAAAAATTAGATCATCATGCTCTTCTGAAAAGAATATATAGATTTTAGTTATGTACAGTCTAATTATGAAATTTATGCAGTACCAGCACATTTAAATATGTTGTGGTGTTACCATTTTATATACCAGCCTCCTTCAGCATTTCATTGTATACTATATAATTGCATACTTACCTCATTTCTTAAAAATCACTTTTAGTATTTCCCAAAATATCTGGAAAATAGGCAAATAGAGTTGGTACATAAAGAAATGCAACTATAGTATATAGAAAGTGGGCTTTATTGCAGGTATTTTCATAATCCAGATATTAAGAGAAGAACCAAGCCTGCTCAGAAATACATCAGACTTACCAGTGCTATAGTTATAGTGAATTCTCTGACCACTAGGTGGTTTTGGAAGTGACAGTGGGGTCTCCTCTGCAAGGAAATTGTTTAATCTGCATTCTACAAACAGCTGCTGTATTGTTTCATCTGCTGTTATTCGTGACTCAGTAAGACCAAGTGATGTAATTTTAATCTGGATTTTTTCAACTTCCTATTTAAAAACAAAATATAAACATAATACAAATGATTTTTTGTTTCTTTAAGTGTTAACACAAAACAAACATACATATATATATGTGTATGTAAATCATCAGCTTTTTATATGATTAATACTGATTGACGGACATATAAAAAATGAGAATCTAAAGCTCCAGGGTTTGTAGCTAAGACTGTTATTGCAAGAGATACTGATTTCCATTTAATGATTAAAACGTTTTTGTAGTAGTCATAGTCTGTTGGTTATCTTTAGGTAAAAATGCTATCTGAATCACAAATTCCAGCTATCATCATTTTTACCTACACGGCAAAGTGATCCTGTAACTGCTTAAAATACTGTCAGTAATACAAGGTACTGAAGTTTTCCAAATAAAAGAGAATTGTTAGTACCTACTGCAGACTATACTACAAACAGTTCAATTAAAATCCATCAAATCACAAAATTGTTAGGTATGTAATGTAATAATGTATTTGTAAAGAATTCAACTTCATATAGTGAACCTTCTTAGTTAAGTCAAACACACCTTACAAAGTTAATTTTAACATGTGATAATAAAAATAATATCCCAGTTGTTCTTCACTGCAGCCTTTTCTTATTATCTTTAACTGAAATTACATTCTTCTATTCCTTATATGAAATGGTTTCATACTGTTCTGCAAAGTCTGGAATATTTATGTACAGATAAATTTTAGTAAGTTTGATTTAGGTGGGCATGTCAGACTCAAGAGAAAGTCACAAAGATTTCCTGAAGTTACTCTGGGAAGAAAGAAAAGCCACAATGGTTTCAACATTGGAATATGTAGGTGAGCATTCAATGATGATATTCTTCAAAGAGCAAAGTGAACACACTGGATACAGAAATGTTGAATGTTTTTTTAAAACTTATTTATTTTCAATATATTACTTTCTTTTCATAACTTAATTAAAATATATATTCTCTAGGGAAAAATTTGGACAATTTTAATTTCTAAACTTAAATCACTTGAACTACTAAATCACATTCAAAGTACTAGCTTTCTATATTCAGTCAGAATGCCAAATGAATGTTCTTATTTAATATGGAGATAGCTTGCATTTTGCTGAGAAAATTATAAAACTAATCAAAATGAAAAGCAATGTATCTTATTGTAAAAATATCCACCATACAGAATAATTTCCATTGCTGTCAAGTTCCCTCAGTATTTGATTATGTAATTTTACCCCTCCTTTCAAAAGACTTTTCATTATGTATCCTATGACACTTCAACAAAAAATCCAAAACTGGATCAATATTTCAATAAGGTTCTTCCACTATTCAGCAGGTACATGGAAATTCTACCAGGATGAGAGAAAAAAATCCACACCATTCTGTCTCTACTAATAAAGTTTCGGGGCTTTAGAAATTTTTTCCCTACAATCTAGTAAGATTAATGGCTACTGAATGTCATTTAAGTGATGATCTTTGACTTGAATATGCTTTCCATATTCAATTTATAAATGAAATTAAACAAAATGAAGCATTTTATAATCAATCATACATCATAGACAAGAAGAAAAAATAAAGAAGCAACTGGTATAGTTTGATACTGGAAAATGTTAGATATGCCTTATGATCAATATATCTAAGAAATAACTATGAACTGTCTAATTTGCAACATACAAATAACCCTGGTGTAATCTTAGATTACTTATATAGCGTGGCATACAATTCATATTTATAGGATAATTAGCACAATAGTCTCCAAAAATCACCTATTTACAGTATTTGAGTATCAGCAGGATAATTATCTCAAAAGATAAAAGGCAGTGATTTCTGATCTTAACCAAACAAAACAGAGTTCAACAGCCATTTTGACATGGTGTATTCTATAATCAACCCAAGAATTCAAGCAAAGTAATACGTATTTTTAAAATCTAACTTCTATCACATGTTGCCTTAATAGTGTACAGCTTTTACTGGTTTTATTTACTGTTCACAAACATGCACATTGTTACCAAAAAACAGATCACTGGAGGAATGCAGAAATTTATCAACCTATCAAATTAATCTACATACAAAATCCTCTCAGAATTGCTTTAAAATAATTTTGATAAAATAAAATATAGGATGACTAGAAAGGTATAGAGCAACTGTATTATAGTTTGACTTAATAGTGATGACTAGTATTCATTTTAGTTCTCAAAATTACTCCTGAAATTTTTTTACATTTCACTTATAAATAATGCAATCTTCAAAGGTACCTTCTGTATTTTTCTGAAGAACATATAAGTAACAGCATTTCTACAAATCTACTGTAGTTGAAGACATGTACTTCTTAAAGATGTACTTTCTACACCTTAAAAAAAAGGAGCAGTATTTCTTATACATGTTTCTTGTTACTAGTTACTTTGTAAGACACCACAGAGCCTTAAAAAGAGCACTTAAAAACAAACCCCTACCTCCAGGATATCACATTACAGAACATATAAACCTGTTAATTTTAAGTACTAGTTTTATGGCTAAGATGGTTCAGTCAATGTTAGATCCAAAACTGTGAATTTTTTTTTTTGAGAACTATCCTATTGAAATACTGTTCAAAATAAGTTTTCCAAATTCATATCATGCTGTGCTATTTTGCATATACAACTTCTAGTCCTGAATTGCTGGTTTTTAGAGTAAGTCAAGAGATTTGATACTGTACGTGTACAGCTTCATTGAAAACTTATGTTAGATACAGTAAAGCTACTCTTAGAGGATATTAGGCTTAAAATATTTTTCTTAGTCTTACCAAATAATTGCCATGTATACTCTGACTCAGCTGTTTAATATTTGTGGATACTGGACTTGAAATAATACAGTCATCACTATCAGTTTTTATTGATTCAACAGCATCATCCTCTTGATGATCTTCTTGACCTTAAAAAAAAAAAAATCAATGCAGATAACACTCGCTATATTTTAGACCACCTAAGACTTAATAAGAAATCTGATAGCAATAAATTTCCTTTTCTAATATAAAAAGAGTAAGTGCTAGGTAAATCTTCTCTTCCTTGAAGAAGACTAACACTTTGAACTGATGACATTTAGAGTCATGTAATATGTATTTTTTCTGGATTGTTAAAAAAATAATAACATTTTCCAGATGCAAACTGGTTAATAGAGCAAGTCCTGAAACGAACTAAGTATGCACAACTGTTAGCTTTATTTAAGAATATAGTCTGAATTTCCTTTGACTTCCTTTACCACCATGCATATGTAAAAGAAGAATGCACCTTTTTTCTTTAGTAAAAAAGTAGTTCTGTACGCAGGTGCATTACTTTCTGGAACATTGCAGAGCATTTTTTTTCCATGAAGCAAATTTTAAGGACAACTGGTATTCAAAATCAACATTCAACAAGTTTTTCCAGTCTTTTTAATGATTTCTTATGCAAAAGCTGCCAACAACTAAACATAAAATGTTAGCATTCTGCTTCTGCTTTTATTTTAAACTTGGTATCATGGACTTGGTTATTGCTATAATAAACAGTTTAAACTTGGAGCTGGAACAGGTTGACCTGGCTTTTATAATCTTTAAATAAATCTAATAACTTTGTGTCACACGTGATATAGCATCCTAGCCCTCTCACTCTCTGAAAGGATTCCAGTATCAGCGTTGGCTGATACGCAGACAAAAAAAGCATATTCATTAAAAGAGTCTTTGGAACACCATAGATCCAAGGGACAATATGAAGACATTTAAAATAGAAGCCAGGTTTCCTTTAATAATTTTACGAATCTAAGTCATATATCAGATTTTTGCAATCAATTACAATATGGTTTCCATTTGGGGAGAAAACACATTTTATCTACCACCCAGCTTCACCTGTAGCTTACGCCAGAATATAATTTATGTCATGAAGTTTCTCATAATGAGGCAGCTTCCACTACTAGTAAGAAATGCTTATGAAAATGGAAAGAGAAAAGTTTTTTCAGGAAACACAGCTACTTATTAATAACCATGAATTCTACCTTCTGGTTCCAATTCTTCAATTATTTCTGTCTCATCTCTAGAAGTAACCAATGTTAGGTCAGCCAATTGCTCCTCTGACAGATGAGAAAGCTCTTCTTTTTCCTGCTGAATTTCTTCAGCCATGTCCTTCACTTTGTCACCCAACAGCTGTTTAGCATCCTGCACCACATGCTACAGAAAAAGAGAAACTTATAGTCTTTAAAAAACTCCTTGAAAAGCAGAAGTTACTGAAGTTCAAAACTTGAAGAGTTACGGCCCACATTCATTATCCAGAGCCTTTTAGCAACTGTATTGCTTACGCAGTGCAGGAAACAATGAGGTGGTGTCAACTGCTGTAACATATAATATACAGCAGAAGGACATTTATCTAACTGCATTTGTGAAAACATAACTATTATAATGATTTGTACCTATCAAATCATTATACCTATTTGTAACATATATACAGCCTGTTTGATTTCCAGTTTCATTTCTATTTAATATTTTTCTACAAGTTCTACAAGACTCAGTCAAAAAACCCCAAAACGCTGTACCCAAGAAGAACTTTTGATAGCTAAATTTACACACATAGGCCTGCACATAATTTTACCTGTGTGCATGGGAATTGATTTTGGTATGAATGTTACTATCTCAAATCTGTAGTTAGGACATTATTATAAATGTAGTGAACCCTATGGAACTGCATTTTAAATGTCAAAGTACTTCTGCATTATTTTCAAATACAGATCCGTAAGTTAGGAATAAAACAAGGGGAAGCCTTTAATATGCAGTAGATAATTATTATACAAAAGTAGGTATAGATCTACTGGTGGAAAAGCATTTGGACGTAAAATGCCTCCTTTGCCTCCCTGCATTAGCATCACTGGCTCTTATCCTCTGCTAGAACTTTTACATATGAGGCTGGACAATTCTCACAAGCAGTTTGGGTGAGACAAACCATTCATTCCACCTTTTAGTGAGTCTCCTTTTTTATTTGCTTTGGCATGTATCACATTGACAAGAAATTTTATTAAGAACTAGATTCTCTGCTATTGAGAAAATGAACTGGAAAATGAAACAGACTTCCCATTTTAATCTGTTGAACTTCTGTTTTTCTTGCATGGACACTTTCTTGCCATTTCATCACAAGACTCAGACATCAAAGAAGGCCCAGCTGTTTCATTATTTAGGCCTAATAGTACTTTTGTCCTTAACCAGACAATGAGGTTTAGATCTTTAAAACGGCTAGAGGAGCTGCCACCCAAGAACGAAGATTTCTGATGGAGACCAAGTAGCTGTGACACTTAGAAAATCCTAGTTCATGAAAAATTGTCAAACTTTGAGAAGCTATTGTTTGGACAGCTGAATATATTTTGTGTGTGCAACTATCCGGCTAACATTTCAGTTTTTCATATCTAAGCTCTCAAAAGATTATATTCACCAACATTTGATTTTTTGTTTTTTAAAGTTGATAAATGCAACAGATCGACTTAATTCTTATTTTCAGTCTATACTCTATAGCTCTCAACGAAGTTCTAGTCATAGTAAACCAAACAGTAACAGAATCTGTTAACCAAAAATTGATATTAACATTTCAAAGAATAAATCCAATTAAGTAATTTATGAAAGGAAAAAAACCCACAACTAGTTTTTAATTAATGCAATATTATTAATATTATATGTAATAGATAAATATAACCTTTTATAATTGCCTGTTGAAGAACATACCTTTACATACTGGATTGACTTAAAAGACTAAACACAACCTATTTTTAGTACTTCCAATGCAAATTATTTCAGAAGAAAATTTAGAAAATGCAGCAAAAACATCTGAGTTAGTTCCATGTAGACTCTGTTAGATTCTAGAAGGATGTACAGATGACAGTGTATGCCAAGTCAAGAAGTATCATTATTTTCAGAATGTGTGCAATCTCAGCTGATAAACTTAATTTTAGAGGTGACTCTGAACTGTGCCAAATTGTGTATCCCATTAGCACAACAGTCAGGAACTGTTTGGATTAAGCCAGTTTCTATAGAGGCACTTATATGCAGTGCAAGCGGTACACAGTAGATAGACACTTGAATGATGCAGACAGTTGAGAAACACAGTGTAGAGCAAGCTGATTGGTCCTGTTAGAATCTGCTCTAAGCCAGTGGAAATTGAAACTTGTAAAGTGTGGAGGATATCAAGCAGTTCTGAGGGAGTCACACAAATATCACTGCACTGCATTCTCCACCTCTATGCAGTACTATGCTATCATTCATTGCCTGGGACAGTGCTGTATTGTGCTGCTAAAATAATCCAGCATTCTTAATTACTAGTTCTACAAATTACCCATATGGAGCTACAAGTAGCCTTTCATGCTTCATTGTGCATGACAGAAATACTTAGAACTTACTGCCATCTGTACTGCACTAAGATCCAGAAAAGAGACTCTCTTGTGTGCTTGAGCTGCACAATGCTTCATTTTGAGTGTTGGAGTCTGTAATAAACAAATATATTGAAGAACATTTATTACCATCTTATTTCATAGCAAATTATGAGGAACTCTTAATTTTTTTCAAAGCCAAATCTAATGGCACTAAATTTAATTCTAATCAGATACAATTTAACAGAATTCATACACAACATACTTCTTAGATAACATCATGGAACCCATGGAGATTTTATATATAATATAAATTTACACCATGGAATAACATAAAACATTAGAGTTACTCCAGACATAGAATATTCTAAACAGCTTAGGTTAAAAAAAGCCCACTAAAAACTCTAGTATTTTAATTTTTGCATTTCAACTTGTTTGCTTTTATTTCTTAAATGAGTGTTAAAGATGTTTGAAAGTCCCTTTTTTCCTGTGGCCCCAATTTAAATGTGATTGTAAAGTGAATTTTATTTTCAAAACGCTCTTCAATATCCAGCCAAAAAACTCAGTAAAAAACCCATTGTGAAGGAATTTCAATCTCATAATACTCCAGTGTTAAGGACTTCAAAACCTTGTTGAACAACTGCTTCACCCACTCTATGTATCCAACATCTAGTTGGTTTAAAATTCATGACTATGATACTATGAGTATGATCTGCCACTTACAGCTCAAGAAAATGAAATAAAATGTCAAATGTTATAGTGACAATTTCAGTAAAAATAAGTAAGTTTAAGACTTTGCCTCTTCAGACAAGGGATAATTCAAGTAGTTCTTGATCTCTTTATATGAAAAACTGCTAACGTGTTTTCCAGTTCAAGAATCTTTAACTTTATTACACTCTGAACATATCAACCCTAGACCTAAGCTATTTGAACTTAAAAAGAAAGAATGGAACAGTTTATTTTATCAAAACTATTGCAGAATCAGAGAATGGCTTGGATTTGAAGGGAACTTAAAATTTAGTCACCAACTCCCTGCCATAGGCAAGGACACCTTCCACTCCACCAGGTGCTCCAAGCCCCATCCAACCTGGCCTCGGACACTTCCAGGGATGGGGAAGGCCCAGCTTCTCTGGGCAACCTGTCCCACTTGAAGCAGTGTCAGGAGAGGGACAGGCTGGACATCAAGAACAGATTCTCTGCACAGAGGGTGGCTGGGCACTGAACAAGCTCCCCAGGCAACGGTCATGGTCCCAAGGCTGCCAGAGCTGTGGGAGCATTTGGACAATTAGGATTGTCCCAATTTGCATTTGGAGCATTTGGGATTGTTGAGGTGTCTGTGCAGGGCCAGGAGGTCAACTCATTCATTCTGATGTGTGCCTTCTAACTCAGCCTATTCTATGATTCTATGAAGAATTTCTGTCTTCTAACCTAAATCAACTTTCCCTGAATTTGAAGTCATTCCCCCTTGTCCTGTGCTCTTGTAAAAAGCCTCTCTCCAGCCTTCTTGTAGGCTTCCTTAGATACTGGAGGGCTGCAGTTAGGTCACCCTGAAGCTTCTCTTCTCCATGAAGTAATTCTCTCTATCAAGTACAGACCCAAACATACCTTGGATGGTTGTTCATGCTTCCTAAAACTGGGCATTATCCCATATCCCAGATCCTTTGACCTCTGTTTGTAGGGAAGAATAGCTTGGTCCATAGGAACTTGCAACCTGATCCAGTATTCTACAGTACCATAATTTTGAATGTGTCCTGTTTTTCCTAAGGAATAAATAGAGGATTGCATTAATTTTCTTTTCAACATTGAGGTATGTTACTTAAAAGCTAGGAAAAACCAGAAATGCAAGATTTATAGAACAGCCACAAATTAAAGATTGTGCCTATGCATTACACCAGTGCTTGTGGTGTGACATCTGTAGTTCATCTTAGAAACAGAAACAATTCCTCAGGCTCCCACTGTACGATCCAAAATCAAAACATAGCCATTTTCCCCTACTTATATATTTGGTATGCAATTCAAATTACTGGCAAAGGTACCACTGTACAATGTCTTATTAAACCAGATTCTCTACAACAGTAGGCAGTTAAGAGGTCACTGAATATGCTGACCTGACAAAATGTTTCTAGAAGAAAAAGTAAGCTGCAAAGAACATTCAAGACATCTTACAAGTGTCTTGTCCAGGATACCTTAATATTATTTTAATATAATGAATATGAATTTGCTTAAAACAATCCACAAAATGTAAATAAACACCCTCCTAGATTATGCTACTATATATATTATTAATCATAATCACCATAATTTGTACCTTTTTCACTATTATATGGCAAACTTTGTCTTACCAGTTTAGATTTAACCATTTCTTCCTTTGTTTATGAATAAGGAAAGAGAGGATATACTTATGATATTCAGCCCAGATACAAAGCACTGATGGGCAAAGTGGAGTGCCTCCTTTTCTGGGTTTTTTCCCTCTTGCCCTGGGGCTATATGCCATTATGGGCAAAACTGTACCCAATTCCAGCTTTCTACAAATGTTGGCAGAACCACAAAAACATGCTGCACATCCAACAGAAAATAGCATTCTTGTAAACACATTTTTTTTCTTTTGAAATAGTAATGCACAAATTAATTTTTGGGCAAATATGCATTATTTATCACTTGGAATATAGTGACACATAATCAAACAGAATACTTTGTGAGATCTTAAATACCAACTAAATTTGCTGTGTTGTAGATCTTGCCTTCCTTTTCCAAGATTTCCTGGAACTTAAGCTGACAAGAAGCAATTGTTTCATAATCTATGCCATACGCACGATGAACCTCCAGTGTGATGCTGTTTTCCTGTATATAGTGAAAGAAGCTATCATCAGACTGCACAAGGAACTGAGAAGTGAAGTCATATGATGGGGTCTTCCCATGAACTACTGGGGTTATCTGAAGTTCAAAGTCATAGAACGCGTAAGTACAAAAGGTTGCAGGTTCCCAGTCACCAAAAGTGTGCATAGCTTCAGAAGAGAAGATCACTTTGCTGATATGAATTTCAAAAAGGTTCTCTCCTCTTTCTAAATGAACAGTTTCAACAAATCCACACACTGGATCATTCAGCAATACTTCTTGTCTGGACTTAAGTGGTTTTGTATCATACACAATGTCTCCTAGTTGGGCTGCAACAGATAAAATAGAGTTATAATATGATTGTCTTTTTAAAAACTCAAATACAATTAATGACTAAGAAGAAAGGATGAAAGTATAATTCAATTATATTAACAATGTTACTTTCATAAAGGCATTATCAAAAATAATTCATACACTGAATGCCCACTGAGCACACTGGCAACAATCAAGAACACTTCCTCAGTGGATCTGCCTCAGTACGCATAGTCACAGGCCTCTAACAGTTATTATCAGGTTATAAGGGAGTGAAAAAGGTAAAATTCAGAAGTCTTATGCAATATTCAAAGTAAGTATCACTATGCAAATGTAGCAGAGATTTAAGATGCACATTTCTGTAGGGTTGATCTAAATTTGCCAGAGAAAGAAATAATACATCTGACTTTTAACATATGTTACATCTTGAGTGGATAGAACTATCAGCAAAGACCATTACATGTTTCCCAGCTTCTGGTGGTAAGTGGTTAAAAAGTGATTAACACAGGTTGGATGGGGCTCTGAGGAGTCTTCTAGTGGAAGGTGTCCTGGCCCTGGAATGGGTTTGGAATAAGATGGATTCCAGCCCAAGCCATTCTGGAATTGTATGACTCTAAGAAATCAAAATACATGCTTACAGAATTAGGACATAAACCATGATGCAACAGATGCAACTTGGAGACAAAATGTGAAAACTGTTTCAACATCTGAGTTTGTAAAATACCCTATTTGAAGCTTCCTATGCACCTTTTACACAGTGAAGCCACTAAAAAAACCCCTTGAAATTCATCCTGTTTAAATACTATGTCAGTATATTATACCAAGGCTTGGGGGATTTTAGTAACACAAAGTGATTCTGCAATGATAGTACTGTAAAGTAAAAGGTTGACCATAAAAGTACGATTTATTCAAAAAACCAAGTTTGGTAATTTTATTCTTATTCAGCAATAGCTGCAATATAAAAACTAGTTTGTTGGATTTGGTTTAATTAATAACTGTCATTTAAGTCAATGAAAATTAACTGGAATAGGAATCTTTCCATGAAAGAACTGACCTTTCTAGTAGTTTTAGGAATGGAAAAGTGCTTCACCTGGAGAATAAATTTAAAACAGTAATTTGGAAGAGATAAAATATAAAAAATATTAGTGAAGAATATAATTTAAAGATACCTTCTAGTTTTCTGATACGTGCAGCTCTAATATCGAGAAGATGGGTATACTGTTCCAATTTTAACTCATAATCTTTCTGTAGACTTTCCATCTTTCTTGTCATTGTTTCTACTTCAGTCTGAAAAACAATTGCATGTAAAAAGAAGTTCTGAGAATTGTCTGTACTGATGTTGTAAATGCTTTTGGGTACAAGTTAAAATACAGTTAGATTTGAGGATAGAACATTTAGAGTATGCAAAAATAGCAGTTTTTTACTTATCAATACAACAAATCAGTTCTAATGTCAGCAAAATCTAAAAACATCAACAGGAAAAATAGAGTAGCTTTTATTTAGGACAATACACCTAACAGTTTCTTTAATGATTTTGTTATTTTAAATGCTAATTAATTGAATGAAAAGTCAAAATATGATCTGCACTACTCCAACAGTGGAAGTAGAAAGAAGACAGTGAAAGCAGAGTGGAGGTATGGAAAAGGAAGCTTATTTGATAAGCACATTTTCTTGTGAAGACCTGGTACAAGCTCAGAGATAACGCTCAGAGAGAAGGAACAGTCTGAGGGTTAAGGGCAGGATAAGCCAAAAGATTACAATTTAGTCACTTGGATCTCACAGTTTTTAAACAATACCTTAAGCAACAACAGATTTTATGTTTGGTTCCCTATGCACAGACTGGCTTTGTTGCTGAATTTGCAAGTTTTAATTATTACAAGTGTTAGAGCTACAAAGGTTAAAATGTTATTATCAGGTTATTTCCCACTGTGAGTAGATTTAGTACCTGGTAATTTTTGCTAATTTTATGCTGCACAAGTAACAAATTCCTTGTCTTTTCAAGTTCTTGCACAGTTTCCACATGTGTTAACTGCAGCTCCTGCATGGAGTATTCTACATCTTTATGGATATCATCTTCCACTTTTTCCAAGAACAGAAGGTCCACATTCTTTTGTTGCTTTCTATCCTGGAGTACATTAGAAAAATTACAAGAAAATAATTTTGCAAAAGATTTGCATGTATTTGTGCATGGCTTAATGCAACACTGGCATGTACTCTTGGTACAACAGTAAGGCAGTAAGCAGAACTTTATAAACTTTAAGCACATAGTAACACAAAAATAGGAATGAGGTAGACTAGAATGTGTCAGGATTGTTTTCAGCAATGTAATTTCACGATAATCAGGAATCAATTAAAATGTATCAGATATTCAGAAGCAATCACTCCTGTCAATCCAATGAAAATACAAACAGATACATTTGACTTTCTCATAATTAATAATCCTGCCTCCATAAATATACAAACCCTGAATTATTATTCTCAAGTCTACATTCCTTCTGTTATTAATACTGGGGAGTTAGTTTTCATTGAGGTTTTCTGTATTTTTGTTTTTTTTTTAAATTATCATTATATAATCATCATTACAGTTAACACTTCCTCAAGAAAATGAAACATAAATTACCCAAACAGTGGAAACATTGCAAAATTATTTGTTCACTGATTTCTTCCTCTCACTCCATTTTTAATTTATGCAAAAGAAAAAAGAATAGAGTATTTTCTGAGTATTTTTGTTTTTCTGTTTAATAATCAAAGATAAGTTCCTAAGATAAGTTCCTCTGGTACTGCTATACTGCATACTGGAATTTCCACGCTTATGGTATACTTGCATCAATTACAGAATTCATAAACAAAATTGGTTTTAGTAAACATTATAGGGATCACAAGATGCTGTGATAAGTCATTTAAGTGAGAGAACCTAAGTTTTTTTAAATGGCTGTGAATCTGATTTAATTCTCCTTTGTTGTTATAATGAACTATTTACATTAATTAAGATTTAATTCTGGCAATCTTTTAATCTTCCTTTCTGATTAACTGTAACTAAAAAATGACAAGACGAGTAGTTAATGCCTCATTTGAGCTTGAGGTATTAACTACTGAAAGATGCTCAAATAATTCAGCCCTTGAAAATTCCAGGTGTGGAGAAAGCATACAATGGTCAGCCAAGGGTTTAACAAAAGAAAAAAAAAACCAACAAAACCAACAAACACACCTTGCACAAATGAGAAAATAAGAATGCAAAATATGGAATTCTAGAATGGTATGGGTTGAAAGGGATCCTAAATATTATCTAGTTCCAACCCCACATTCTTTGAAAGATACCTTTATAAGTAATAGGGTTTAATTGAATTCTGCCACACCAACACCACTTCCCTGAACTTTAATGGAAACGTGTTACCAGATGTGAATTGAAGAAATACATTTAGAATAACAAGATACATTCTCACTAGACATGATATTTTGCTTGATAGCATGAATAAATAAACACTTTTCCATATTTGACTAGAAGAAAGTATCAAGAAGTATCTGCACTATGCATAAAACATAGAGGGTTTTTTTCCCTCATATTTGAAACAAAAATACAGTTTACCTTGGTTAAACACTTCACTTGATTTTTCAGATCATCTAGTTGCTGTTTTTGTTCCAGGTAGCGCAACTGCAGGTCTTTGTTGTCTTGCATCAGCTTTTCCTTTTGGTCTTGATATAGAAGAACAAAATATTACGCTTAATTCAACATAGTTAAAAAAATTACAAACTTGATTTTTTCATATTCATATATGCATGAAAATTTCATTGCAAAATGCAGAAACTAATGTATTTTGTATGGGGAAATATTTCTTTCCTTCTTCTGGTTAGGATAGGGTTAATTTTTCCAAGACGTCAACTTTTACTGATACAATCAATACTTCTCTATCAAGACAATAAAAAAAAACTGTAATTATTAAATAGCATACTCTGTAGAACAGTACTATAAATAAGAACAACAAATGCAGCAATTAATGAAATTTTATTAATGTAAAATAAAAAGTACTTAGACATAACTAAGTAAATATATACACTGTATGAATTTATGAGTGACAACAATCCTTGCTATAGGAATTGTTTCAACTTAGACTTTGTATTAGCCTATCTCAGTCTTTTAAAACCTGAATGAAACACTACTGTTAGTAAGCTTCAACGAAGATGAACCAAACAGCTATTGTAATTTATGGCTGAGAATCTGGGAATTACTGGTAAGACAAGAAACACAAGTATAAATGTCTAAGGGAAATGAGGCTGGTGGAAGGGTGATCTAGCTTCTTTAAGTACTATATTAAAAAAAACCCAGAAAACATAGTTAGAGTCTTACTCTATTTTCTATCTAAATACATTTCTTTCAAGTATTACAAAGCACATTATGATGTTATGGCCAGAAAAATACTACTAAAACAATCAGATCAAATTACAGGATTATTGTAAAAGGGAAATACAGAAGGAGGACATAGAAAATGTCAAGATGACGTTGGTCTCCTGTAACATTAAGAATTTTCAAGGCTTCACTTATTTTGCCATCTTTCTTAGACATGGAAAAGCTTAGAAAAAAGACTCATATGCCAAACTACAAAGGGTAGACAAGACATTATTTCTAGACTAGCTCTAGGCAGTACTTTAATACAAGCATTAATTTCAATTCTTGTATTGAACTTCAAAGAAGAATGAGCAGCAAAGTCAAATACTCTGAAATATGTGACTAAAGAAAGTTATACTGCCTATGTTTTGTTAAAGACGGAGCTGTAATCAAATCCTATATACAGAGGCCTAGAAAGATATTAGAACATCTACTCCAGCTGCAGCAAGTCAATTCAATAGAAATCAGAAGTGTAGTACTCCGGTGTTTCAGTTTAGGAGTACAACAAGCTACCGGAGGAAGGGATGGTAAACACCTGACAGTTGAACATAATGGCCACAGGAAGGACAGAAGATGGAATGCTAGGTTTTTCATAATCATGCTACAAGTAACAACTGTTAGTATGTCATAACTTCATAATAACGTAGCTTAAGGCATCTTTATTTTAGTATCAATTAAGGCTCATTTTGCAAATGCTTACTGTGATCAAATAAAATATTTAAATATTCAATCTGGTATGTGAAATCAGCAGAGCTACTGAGAATCCTAATGGTACGCATGTGCTGAACTCAACCCATTATCATAAGAATTATTCACAACAAGTTGGCCCACTTCATTCCATGAATTGTTCACAGAAATACACCTCTTAAAAATACACATTTGAAGAATCAACTCTAAACTAACTATCTTCACTTTCTGTCTGTGCTTGTCCTTTGTAAACTTCATATTGCTACAGTAACCAGTGCTGAGATTAAAATAAAGATTGCAAGGTCAGTATTCACTAAGAAGTTGTCTTACAGCATGAAGAAAACACATATGAAATAATCTGTTCATTAGATTAAAAGACAACTGTTATTTTAAATGTACAATGCTGTAAACAAAAACTAGTATATACTGAAAATAAAAACAAATCTGAATTAATGAAAGACAAACATTGCCAAGGGCCTACATGGGCTTCACATAGCTTTGTACAGTAAACAGAATAGTGGTTTATAATTTGAGAGAGACTGTCAGAGGGGTCTCTTTTCCACAAGAACTTTCAGTGTAGAGAAGAAAAGAAATACTGAATAAAGAGTAAATATGAAAATCCAACAGATGAAGAACAAATGCAGCTGAAATTATATGAGCCTCATTCAGCTCATATTCTGTATTGGGTCATATTTTGCACTTAATAAATAGTCATAACTTAGGTATATTTAGCAAATGTATACTTAAAATGCAGTATTGAAAACACCAGCAACAGAGAATCCACTTTTCAGGGCAGTACATCTCAACTCCAACATGGGTATACTCTCACATTTTGAGAAAATACTAGTTTTCTCAGAAATATACCTCTTTCTACTTTGATCTTGTCAAGGATTTCATTTTTGTCTGCTAGATCATTTTTGATAGCTGCCTCTAGTTTAGCAATTTGCAGTTTCAGTTGCTGTTCCTTTGACTTCCACTGCTGTTCATGGGGCAGACTGAAGACACTGCAATAAAACATGTGATATATGAAAAACTTTTAGAAATCAGCTTCAGCAGAAAATTATCAAGGAGAAAACCTTTTAGCACCACAGAGACCACTGTCATTGTGGCTGAGGAATCATGTAAACATGTTGGTCGGCTGCTCTTGAAAGCCAGGTGGCTCTCTCAGGATGGAATTAAAAACCATAAAAGATTTGTGGGATGAGCAAAGGAACTGACCTTAATTTACAGCTCCAAAGTTAAAAAAAGTTGGTAGCATGCAACATTTGTGGGACTAGGAAAACAACTGAGATGCATATCTCAGAATAATCCACAACAGCAAAATTCAGCAAGTGACAACTACAAAACTAGGGGTTTTTTGTGTACAAACCCTCTTAATGTAGAGAATTGGAATCATCCACCTGATTTCTTTTAAATTTGTAAGACATGCAGAACCTCAAGTCAGTTGCCTGGTCAAAGAAATGTTGACCACAAAGTGACAACAGTTTTCTCATACTCTAAAACAATTCTGCTACTGCTTAAGAAGTGCATATAAAGTAATCTTTCTCCTACTTGAAGAAATTAAAAAAAAAAAAGTGGGAGAAGAAATTAGAAAAACTATTTTGCCTTTAACATTATTTGCTTGTAAACTGCCAATCTACTTGCAAGGACTGCAGGGGTACAGAATCAGAACTGCTGAAACCATAACAAAATGTTATGGTTTCAGTCTGTGTAACTCAGACTGAAATGAAAGTAATTGTATTACATAATTTACAGTATAATTCCTTGCAGGTAAAAAGAAAAAGCAATGTAATGTGCTTTCTTAGCCAGTGAGTACTATGCTCTTCATATTACTGTTGCTCAACTCTTGCATTCTTATTGACTGGAAAAACGTCCACCTTAACAAATCATAAACCAGTTTTATTCATTTACACATTCTGTGAAAAATCATAAACTGAGGGGTTTTCTTTAAACAAAGGTATCAGTTCCTCAGCTCTTTCCTTTGCAGAAGCTCACCAGTTAACAAATATTATATTTTATATTTATAAATGTATTAAAAAATCTTCTGGAACCTATTTTGCAGCCCATCTCTCCCAGACATCTATGTAACAAGCCTCAAAAAAAAAAAAAAAAAAAAAAAAAAAAAAAAAAAAAAAAAAAAAAAAAGAGAATTGTTGCAGAAGGGACAGCCCACAGAGCCCTGTAGACTGTACCTGTAGACTCAAAGAGAATGCCTGCTCTGATGGGTGACTACATGCAGTGATTCTGAGTACTTTTAAGTGCAGTTACATCAAAAATAATGGAAGAATGACCTTAAAGGAAAAAAAACCTATTACAGCATGAATTGTAGACTCTGAATTATATGGAAGGGTCTTCTTAAAAACTGTTTTATTTCCCAGTATTTTGTCATTTCTTCATAGTATACATAAACTCTTTAATACATTTCTCCAGGCACAGATCATCTTACACTTTGACAGATTGTCTTTTACAGCGTGCATGAACTTATGGAATGCTTCTAAGTCCTGCAGTAAAATAATAATAATATTTTACTCTCCTATAATTTTGAAGATAATATGCAGGAAATATAAGGCACTGCACCCACTATCATTCCATAATACTGTCTAGGTATAGAAAAGATACAGTGTGTTCTCTAACTGCTTAAAGTCTCATTGGTCCCATAAGGAAAGAACAAAGCATATCAAAAAAGGTATCAAATACCCTTAGTTTTCACACTTCTGAAAGTGTTTTCACATTTCAATGACAACTGTATGTGCATTTGCTAGCTTTGGGTACAATAATTTCACATAAAGATGTAGCTACATCTAATCCAGTTTTTTGGAAGACTATACTGTCAGAGAAACCATAAAGAGTAACTATGATGGCAGTTCAAGATCTCAGTATTTAAATGAAGAAGATTTCAGAAGACAGGTTTCCTCCAAGCCTATGTAATGCTAATGATTACATTTAAAGTCTGATGTTTAATGATTATGCTTAATGTAATGTTTTAGTTTGAATTGAGTCCACTTGTGTTGTTTTTTCATTTGAATTTAAGATTCACATGGAAAATCTGTCACATCTATGGTATTTCATCAGAGTAAAAGCCATGTGAATAAACTATAATCGTCAACCACATTGGGCACTGTTTCTTTGGAAAAAATTTAGGCATTGTCAGGTTGCCATTACAAGGTCATATGAAAACCACTCTTCCAAACCCTTTATCAAAATGTATTGTTTTCTTGGACAAAGAGTAAGCAATAAGAGTCAACTGACAAATTCATACTTGTTCTTTGCAAACTTTTCAGGTGCAGTTCTGCAGTCTTGTCTTTGGCAAAACTGCTATCAACTTCCCAAAATTAACATCAGCAAAGGATGGATTTGTGCCTCTTTTCCTCTATTAAAAAGATTTATTAATGATCTAGCACCTGCGGGCACTTCCTACGCACCACTAGCAAAAAGTAAGCTGCAGTAGAGTTCCATTGTGAAAATAAGAAACTGGAAAAGCTAGCCATTAAACAGTGGTTATAATGAAATTATCAATTTCTCTAATTTCTTGTTACTCAATGTGCTGGTTTTGGCTGAGGCACAGGTACTTTTTGTTCCTAGTGGTTGGTATGGGCTGTGTTTTGGATTTGTGCTGAACATAGTGATGATAGTACAGAGATGCTTTTGTTACTGCTGAGCAGGGCTTGGAGATAACCAAGGCCTTTTCTGGCGTTCAAACTGCTGTCCTGGGGAAAGGGCTGGGGGAGTCTGGGAAACTGGGAGGTGACACAGTTGGGAGAGCAGATCAAAGGAATATTTTCTAGTAGATAAAGTGAAAAGAAGGAGGAGAAAGGGAGGACATTTGGTGTGATGGTGTTTGCCCTCTCAAGTAACTATAAGGTGTGATGGGGTCCTGAAGGTGTGGAACAACTGCCTGCCCCTGGGAAGCCAGGAATTAATTCCTTGTCTTGCTTTCCCTATTAAACTGTCTTTATCTCACTGCACAGTTTTTCTAGCTTTTACTCTTTAAATTCTCTCACCAGTCCACTGGTGGGGAAGTGAGCAAGGGCTGTGAGGGGCTTGGTGGCTGGCTGGAGTAAAACCACAATATGGAATGATGAAACATTAATCAACGTTTAAATGGGACTATATGAAAAGACAGATCACTTTAGATAAAAGAACAGCCATATTGTAGGTTACTACATAGTAAGAGAAGCATATTTAAATTTATTTAAACATCTTAAATTCTCTATGACCTAAGTAGAACAGGAATATCATAAGTTGATTTCTCAGTAAGTGTTACTTTTCTGCATAATGATAAAAGAGAGAAAGAAATCCTAATCGGTTTCTTCAATCAAATTTTGGAGAAATCTACAACAATGAACTTAAGTGACAGACAACTGATCAACTGCCCCTATACAAATCTCTGAGTATCATGATAATACAAATGTTACATCTCATAAGTAAAAAACTATTTTAAATTATTTGTACTCACCATTTTTCACTTCTATAATTTTTAATTTTACTACAAACAGTACAGGAAGTATAAGAAATATTGTAAGAATTCTAGAAACAAAAATTGGCATCACTCACATTGTATTCAGTCATTGGTATTTTTTTGACAGACATCACACTGACAAGCCAAACACTTTAACAGGAGAAATAATTTCAATATAAGAAAATATGTTAAGCATTTTACATACTTTCTGAGGCAATCATTAACTGTAAGACACCTCTCTTATTATCTAACCCTCTTTAGTGTAATAAAATCACAGTTTCACAATAAAGGAAAAGCTCATTTGAAGGTCATTTTTTGCTTTCATATGCTTGTGGCAATTGGCTAGAATTACTTACTTCTGTATCAGTAGATGTGAAATGATAGATATTACAAAAGAAACAAACCACGCCTCAAAAATAATTAGTGGGAAAGCTAAATATCAGACTTTATACAGGTTCACTGTGAAGTGCTGAAAGAACTTTTATCCCACTGACAAAAATTCAAACACCTCTTTGTTAAAAAAAACCCCAAGAAACAATCCCAAAACCCAAAATAAATCCAAATTAATATATATCTACCTAGAAGTATTCTTCTTTCAACAATAACGTTAAAGAAAATAATGAGAAATTCAACTAAAAATTCTTTCATTTATGTTCAAAACAAAGTAACTCCTACTTATTTTTAATTTCGTTTTTAAAAGTAGTGTCCTATTGTTTCAAGAGTATTAGAACAAGTTGGTCCATTTAAACAGGGCAGATGAAATACAGGCAGAGTACCATGAATGTTTCCATATACACTTACTGATATGATAAACTGGAGAACAAACATATTTACATGTGTGCACAAACACTCAATAGCCATATTCCAGCACTTAGTGTATGAAGTCCTACTCAACAGGACAGGAACCTAATTTTTTATATACAGAATCCATAACTTACCTGTTATGCAGCTTATCATAGTTTTCCTTCAACAGTTTGTTCTCATTTTCTAGATCATTTATTCTTTCCTGTAACTAAAATGAAGAAGGAAGTTTTATTTGATGCACAGCACAAAAGCAAATTACAGTGAATGGGTGAAGACAGATAGTTAATTATTTGTAGGCATTGTCAAGCTATTATTTGTTCTTTTTATACAAAATCAGCATCACAGAATATTCTGTGTTGGAAGGGATACAAGGATCATCAAGTCCAATTAAAATGAATCGCCCATTTGGGGATGAAAACCACAACCTTGGCAGTACTAGCATCCTGCTCTAATCAAAAGAGCCAATCTCAGGGTATACACGCAAAATATAAAAATCTAAACGTCTAAGTATATTACTGACATGTTAAACAACACATTCTTGTTTTCAAAACATTCCCTAAAGCAAGACATAACTTGAAAGCTATGAGATAGCAAGAAGATACCTTCATGTATTACAATAGTTTAAAGGTTTGGAGGAAGTATCTGTGAGTTACTTCTTGGTAAACCTGGTTCATGCAAATACATTTAAAATAGGTAAACCAGGTGGTGAAACTAAATTTAGTACAAAATGTAACAGAAAAACAAGTAAGACTGCAGACTCTTACTTCTCATGCATTGAAGAGAATGAGAAATAAACCACTTGATTTTTAGCCCTAAGTGCGGTTGACATCCATAGAGAGCCTCTAGACAAAGAAACAGAAGTAACTGATTTGAACTGCTAAATCAGATATAACACTATAGTGTACTGGAATTAAATCAGTACACTATAGTGTTATATCTGATTTAGCAGTTCAAATCAGTTGAAAGAATATTAATCAGGTTGAAAGAATACTAAAATATATTACCAATAAATTAAGTATCATTTTCTTTCAGTTAACAAACCACTTGTTCAGTATCAGAATTGACATGGAATCCTATACCTTAACCTCAAATACTGCCCAAACACTGGTGACTATGCGGCACAGGGATAAAGTGTGGTTGATATTCTACCAAATGCAAAGCAGCAGCAGCCACTGTCTTTTTCTCTTTAATGGGATAAAAGTATATATATCAGTAGTATATATATATCACCATGTCAAGTCTTCTAAATGTGTTTGAAACATCTATTCACATTTTCACAATTAAAATGCATCTCATCATTAACTCTTCCCTTATCTGTATGTACTTCAAGTAGATTCAAGATCTCTTGAACACAATCTCACCTCTTCTGTCCTTCTGTTTGAAATAGTTACTGTCTGCAATTCTTTTTGAAGATGAAAGCACTTTAACCGCTCCTCTTTAAGCTGAACATTCAGTTCATCACCTTTTGCTAATAAAGCATCATGGTTGGTCTTCAAGTTCTTTAGGTTCTGTGAAAAGGAAGGAAGGAATATCAAAATCAGACCTTGCAGAATGTTCCCTCACTGTGTATTTCAACACGGGGCTCTCAAGGCGCTATTGAGTAGATGTTCTCAATGTGATCAGCAAGACACATTCTTGAACTAAGTAACTAAAAGTAACTTTCACTTCCCACGGCCCACAGAAGGTGACCTGGCTGCCCTCATGAATTATCAAACCCTCCGTTTCCTCATGATGAAAATGACAAAGAAATAAATCTGTAAAGCAATTAAAAGATTTTGCAGTGCTTACAGTGGTTGTACATGCTAACCAAAAACCACTGCTGCAGCAAGCAGAAATCAATGTCATCCACATCTATGTTAATCACAGAGCTTGCCACAGCTCTCTTAACCCTTATATTTACATATACATATATACACACACACACATATAAATCTTTATACTTGTAGATACACATATACACACAATTGTAGATATATGATTCTTTTGCAACCCTCATGCATTCAGCTCTATTTCCTAGCTAGAAGAACTTTAATAAGGGACTTCTGATTTATATCATATTTTCATTTACTTTGATGGCACATTTAACCAATTTTAAAATTAAATGGAGGATGCCAATAGAGCCTCTATTCCAGAATATTAGTAAATATTATACTGCCTACAATCCTGTAATTAGGCCTCATTCATTAAAAATTCATATGTAAATCACATTCAAATTATGATTTGAGACAAAATAGTTGAAAACCCAATTTCCTGTTTCATAAAATAACTGGATGGTAATTTATGCCAAATACATATGTGAATATAGTTAATGTTTAATGCTTTTAGACAGAAAGAAGTTAGCTTCATTTTTTTTCCATACAGCATTCCTACAAAGTAGTTAAATGGAGAAGCTAAATGTTAATCCTGTAAAAATCGTTTACATTCACATGCGGTCTGAACAGACTGGAAATTAACAAAAAACCTATGAAAAATCAGTCACCAACTTGATCTTCAGCTTTTTGTATTCATTTCCAGGAAGACAAAAATCACAAAGAATACACAATATTAGCAGTCAGTCTAACTAAAAGAAATAGAGTTATTTTTATAGCTATTTTTATAAGTAGTTATTTATAGTTATAAACGGAGAGAATTTAAATTCTAGAGTAAACTCTCTCTATTTTAGCTTTCTTAAAGAGAAAGAAGACAAAATGTCATGTTAAACCTTTTCTCAGTTTGGCAGAGAAGATACAGGAGTTACACAGAACAGGGGAAGGAGGCACAGCAAAATAAAATGCAGAAACAGGAAAACATGGCCAAAAAAAAGAATCAAAGAAAAATCTAATGGCACAAGTGTTATTTAGCATGCTAACAACAAGCACACAGGTGTTTTTAAAGATACTCAGTTCTTCCACTTCTTAAGACTGGATACATAATAAAGCTCTATTGCAGGTAGGATTCCTCCTTACAGGAAGTCTCCCATTTCCAAGGTATTATCATACTACCTTTGTACACATATGCAGTTTTCCATATACATACAGGAAAAAAGCAGAAAAAAAGTGGTATAATTAAAACTTACAGAGATATTTTCATAAAATTGCTCTTTTTATAAGGAAAATTGTTACTTAAAGTGGCCCTCTAAAATAATTTCCAAGAACATATGAGCAGAGGTTAAATCCTAACAGAAGAGCCAAACTGCCCAAACTTCAGCAAAGAGTAATAAAGTGGAGGGTGCTTGGTAGTCTTTTTTGATAAATCAGAACATCTAAATCAAAGTCCTCTATTTAAACGATCATGGATCTCTTTCCACAGCCAGACAACTCAGTTCATTCTTCATAATCGGCTTGGTATGACTTTGCAGATGAAATCACTAAGACCTGCTGGACCTTGCTGAAAGAAAGAGAGATTAAGACTAAAAATCCCTACTCCATCTGGAGTAATTTGAGAGAAATCTAGGATGTGGTTTATTGGATTATGATCCCAATATTATCAAGTAGATTGTGCCTGGGCTCGTCTGACCCCTGCTGCTGGGCTAAAGGCGGCAACTGCGGTGTTTCATCTCAGAGACACCTTTGGCTGGCTGGGTGTTGCAGCCGGGCACTGAAACAAACACAGGCTTGTAGCTCAGGTGGAAGGGCTTCAGGCTAAGTTAAAGAGGAAAAGGAGACAGATTCTGCTGGAAGGTTTATATCCAGAGTTTAATTCCATGGTCACAGACATCTGAATCTTAGGTAACAGCTCCAACAGAATCCTGAGCACATGGTCGGGGCTCAATTTAAGCCTGGGGACAGGGGGAGGGGAAGGGACAGGTGAGCACCAACCAGGTGGGAGGAGGAGGGTCTCAGGGGACGAGGGACACATAGACAGGCCAATGACCCCCAGGCCTGAATTGCATCCTTTGAACTTGACCAACCACACTGAGTGCCTTGCTGCAATATTTAAGACAGATTGACAACCCAGCAGGGGGCAAGGGGGAAGGGGAAGAGAGGTATTGCCACACCTGGGAAGGGACTGGGAAGTTTAAAACAGGAATTGTATTGACTTAGAATCAAGAACTGTGTATAATTTGTCTTCTGTTTAGCATGCTTATGTGATAAGAGCATAGAAATGTCACTGATCAAATTGCAATTACCTCTTCAAGCTGGAGAAACTTTCCTTCCATTGCTGAAAGAGCATTGCTTTTCTCAGCCAGCTGTTTACGGACTTTGATCATTTCCACATTGTCCTGAATGTTTAGCCTTCAAAATTAAAAACAAATGCATCATAAACACATACTTCGAAGAAGATGTAGTGTATAATAGCCAAATTAATTTGTTCTTCTATAATTCACACTAGAGAGTTTAGGTAAATACGCATTTTACTGTTTGATGACACAGCAACTTCAATCAATACATATACATCTTTGTTTATTGTATAAAACTGTATATGACAGAAAAAGAAAACAATCCCCTGCCTAAAGAGATTGTTTTTCCTCTCTCCCGCCATCCAAAATATTTGGTGCCAGTAGAACACCATTTTGTGAAGTTTTCACCTATCAAACACTGCAAAGAAAATGAGAGCTAGCAATTTAGACTATAACATCTTAAATCTGGTATTCAAACAAGCTGCCAGTGTGTCTTAATTACACGAAAATAATTTAATATCTATGCAGATATTCTTACAATTCTAAGATTAATTTGAGCCTGTACTGTTTATTAGAAAGGATGTTCAAAATCATTCAAAAATTTAAAAAATATTTACTTAAGTGTTTTTCCTTACTTCAAACGGTGCAACTAAACCCCATTATTTCTGCAAATATGAGAGGAGAAACCAGGGATTTTTATTAATATAAATTATGATAAAATCAGAATAGATTTTCAATATCTGAAAAGGCAATTTCTCTTCCAATATTTGTTTATTTTAGACACACAGGACAAATTGTCACAATGCCATGCTGGAGCGAGTGAAGGGGGCTACAAAGCTTCAACATCTGGAAAACACTTGAGTACGTGAATAAAGTAATGTTGCTCTCTAATACTAAAACAGTGTTAGAGACTTTCATTTATCTCAACATTTTCTGCAACAGCAGAGCAGAATTTTTCTACTATTTGTAGATTCCAAATTACTGAGTACTAGTGAACATTAAATTGTCCACTATGAACCTACACCTAAAATTTGATAAGAATTAAAGTGAAGGAAAAACAGGTGATTAAAATTTTATGACTTGAACTTTAACTGAACCTGTATCAGCTGGAAAAGAATTCTCTAAAATGGTAATTATGAACTTTTTTGTTTATTTATGAAAGAATATCATAACTTATCATTGTAACTATTTCCTTGCTTAGAATTATCCATGCTATTTGGCAAAACATTTTATGGCTTGGTTTCACCAATCGGACAAAAATTAGTAAGTAGTAACTTCCACAGCTACCTACAAACATTATGATATAACTCTTTTAATTTTTCACAATACCTTTGGCTTGCTGTACCCTGCTCTTTCAGCCGTAGGGTGGATTCTTCAATTTCCTTTTCTTTCCTTCTTAGTTGATTCCCAAGAATCTCTCTGGCACGGTCTAATTCCTCAATTTGGTTCTTTTGGGACTCAATGACAGTCTCCCTGCAAGTACAAGCATCCTACATTCTAAAACCAGTTATATATTTTTTCAAGGAAAAAAAAAAGAGTACTCAAGTAAGCCAAACTTTTAAGTGTTCAGCAAAATCTGTATTTCTTATTAACATACATTACAAGAGAGGCTAATGAGTTTAAATTTCTATTGAAGAGCAACACAAACTCTCAAAATAAATATTTCTGTGGACTGAATAATGCTTAGCAGAACCTCCCTAAGATGCTGTTCACGGTTTCTTATACTCTGTATTAGAAGTATCCTCCTTCTCATCCATTAGCACCAATGGTTTCTCAAAAGCAAAACACCATTACTAGCTATCAAAAAATTAGATCTTCAATGGATGGAGCACTGAAAGTAATTTTTAAGCTTTTATTCTGAAATGGAAAAATCTAAACCCCAAAAAAAGCAAAAAAGAAAACAAAATCAAAATATGGGTTTTGAACAGTGGAATTTATCCAATGAATGCATGAAAAAGTAATTTATAGGAATATTTCCATACAATTGTTTCTTATTATTCCAGTTAATCATTGCATTTATAAAATTTCAAGCACAAAATAAATAATTGCACATTAATCCATGTATTTCTAAACTTAGCTTGCCCATTAATTGTAAATCTAGCATTGCCAGACAAGGTAATCGATAATCTGATTTAAGTAAATCACTCTGAAAATAAACTAACAGCTTTTAGAAAACCCAGGTTCTAAACATAATTCAGAGAAGAAAAATATTCTAATCAGACCTCAATATCTTTAAATTAAATGCTAACTACCTTTTCTATATAACACCTCTCTATTTCTCATGCTATCTCTACATCAAGGATGCTGCAGGGGTTTCAATTTCAATTGAAACGTGTAGATGAATTACAAACCACACTTCAAAATGCAAAAGTGAATCAGAATCATTTTACATAACTATCCCAATACTGTGCTTTTTGTGCTTATCCATAAAATCTGTCTGCCTCTAGGAATGAAACTTAAATGCATCAGTGAAACACATTCACATAGTTACTACTTGCATGGTGGTGCACATTTTAGGACTTATGTCGGTAAAGATTTTGCAGCTAGGGTTCTTTCTTCTTTTGTCACCTTTGACCCATAACAAACATTGCATCCTAGCAAACAAAGCCTCACCACTGGAGACCAGTTTTAACTTGTAGCCAAATTCTTATGTACCTACATTTTGCATTCTAAATCCTTCATTTCCTGTTTTCCTTAACATTCTGCATTGTTACCAGTGTTATTATTGCCAGAACAAACCGTTTTATTTTCTGAACTGAAAACTTCTTAGAATATATACTTTTTTTCTTCAAGAAAACCTTAAGTTATAAGAGCTATAATGACAAAAAAAGAAGTAATATGAAAATCATACAAATTTCTGATTTCAGCTCTTGAATCCTCGAGCAGACTCTGTCCATATTTAGGAAGCACAAGGTCAGATGATCTCACTTCTAAACCTTGAAATCTCATTCCTGAATACAAAAGCAAAGATAAATTTTTGACTTGTTGAATGAGAAAGCTCCTAACAAGCCAACTATCTTAATACAGCACAAATAATTGCAACTTCTATATAGATGTCAAAAGAAGTATTTTTACAACAAAATCACATAGAAATAATCATAATATGCACACAACATAAGCTGCTGTAAAATCTGAAGGATGAGCGATGCCAAACAGTGTTAAAGCAAACTGTTAAAAACATGTCCTGAAAGATTTTGAGAAGATTTTACTTTCAAAGAGAACAGAGATCGTGTCTTCAAAGAAAATAAATGTCAGTATTATTAGACAGGAACATGAACTTGTAATCACTTTTTCTCATCATTTTCTCTGCAAAATCCCAAGGGACATTCACCCAGACCTGCAATTGTTAGGACTGTATTTTAGTAGCAGTGCAGATAATTTCATTGTGTTGTTTAGAAGCATCCTAAGCCCATGGTGAAGAAAAGAAGTGAGAAATTAATTAAGGAAGAGTTATTACTCTAGGAGCAAATGCAATGGTTTCTCCACATGTTCCTCCTACTCTTTGCAAGAAGAAATTATCCAAGTTTTGTGGTGGGACCAAATACATTTAATTTCAAAGACAGCATTAAGGCAGCCATCCCTCAATCCTCAGAACTGCATAACTTAGGTTTAAGGTACAGTGATGCCAAGAGTTTCCCAAAATGCCTGAAAAACTTACCTACTGTGCTGCATTAACTTGACCTATTTAGAATTTTGATCTTTACGTGTCATTTTAAGGTACTGCTAATTGCGATATAGATATATAGATATAGATGCACATGTGTGTGTATATGCTTAGAAGTTTTTTTTTTGTTTACTTTTGTTCAACTCAAGGTACTTCTTACATGACTGCACTCAAAGAAAGCAAGTTATCTCCAGAACATCCATACCTGATTAGCTTTCCATGGTATTTTTAAATCAGCCAAACAAAAAGCAGATACAGGAAGCTCTAATTATTATTTGTAGAGTTTTCTTGTCTCTTAATACCTTAGAGACAGCTAAACTATCCTCATTTTTTCCAGGCATTTTATTTTTCAATAATTGCTCTGCATATTTTCTGATCTGCACTAAAAATGTTTTGAAATTCAGAATCATGGTTTCAAGTGCAATGAAAGAGCCAGCTGTTTTAATAAATTATACCCTTCTTGGTGTGCTCTGGCATGCCAGCAGTCTCACTCTCTTTTTTCAGACCAGTGTTCACACGAGACTGAACGGAGCTGTACTGACAAGGCCTATGGCCTTGAATCTGGAGCTGCTGTTTAGTTGAAATGAGTTTGTTGCGGAGGCTCTCATTTTGTTTCTCAAGCTCACAGACTTTTTCTCGCAAATGCTCAATCATTTCTTCCAGCTCCAGAGCCTGACCCAGCCGCTTGGGTCCAGAGCCAGCCTGGTCACATTTTCTTTTATCATTAACGAGCCGTGTTAACTTGGTGGTCATTCTGGGGAAAACAATTCACAAAAAAGAAAAATAATGTGAAAAGTTAGCATAAAAAGTATTCTGTTGAAAGGAACATAGCCACTATGGAGACGTCAGCATAGAACATTGATAATAAATTTCAAGTTTTGATATAACTATTGTTGCCTGGGACAAACTCCTTGAAGGTAACTGATACCACTGAGCAGCAACCTGCATTATAGCACTGAAGAATAACAGTTTCCTAAGGCTAATCATTTAAGGTTAGTGAAGGAAGGACACCTTTACATTGTATTTTTACCTAAGTGGACTAAGTACACCCACCTGGTGTAAGTGGATCATGAGTGGTATTTCCTGTGCACAGAAACATAGGAACTGCCATTTGAAATAATGAAACAATTAATTTCATCTACAATCTTGTATTTGACAACAACCTAACAGAAAATATGGAAATTATGTAATACTGGTCAACTGGACAGTGGCTCACTGAATACTGAGTCAAAATAAAATAATGTTTCGTATTTTAAAGTATGAAATAGGCACTATTGTCAACTACCCTTTGATGAATTCATTAGCTCCTTGTGGGAATCCATAAAATCAGAGGGTTTTGGGAAAGCTGCAAAAAGGAGGCATCAGAGACAGCAGAACTATGATTAGAGCTAAGCAGTCGCCATAAGTTTGGTCAACAGAAAAATTACGTAAGAAGTAGAAAAGGACGAATAGAACAATGGTCTGTGTATTAATGCTTGTCTAATTTTAATGCTTGTCTAATATTAATGTTAGAATAACTCCCTAAGTTGCAGAAAAGTGTATCTAGCGAGATATTTGGAAGTTCTAAGCTTAATAATGGTGGTCTGTGCATTGTGCTTTAAGGCTTACATGCAGGTATTGTATTTGAAATAAGCAAGCTACATGTGCTTATAGTGGTTGGATGGAACTACTGTCAATATGCTTTTGCTTAGTGTGATTGGTCAAAAAAGTTTTAAAGTATGTTGTAACACTAAGTTCTTGGTCTGCTGCCTGGGATGTGAGCTGATGGCATCTTCCCATTGTCATAACCATGTAATGAGACTGATACTGGAAAATAAAACAGCTCAAGACACGTTCCTAGCAGTCCTGTCCTGTCCGTGATTTGTACATAGCCCTCGGCTGGTGATAGCTCCTCACCAGAAACTGGCTTACATGCAGAAAGACTTTGTTAACAATTAGCACAATGCAAACACAGAGTCACAGCATTCAGCCTTTATGCAATATCGTAATGCTTCAAACAGCTTTTCACAGTCCAGATCAGTTTGCCACCACACTAAGTCCTGGCAAAGATTAGCACACAAATCCTAGCATACTGAGTTTAATAATCAGCCTAAAGTTGCTTGTATATTTGTGGGTAAACTGGGTACTGTGCTCCCCATGCTATTTGGGACTTCCTCCCTGAAGTTATCTATTACGTTTAATATGCACATGCTTCATGGTATCAGTGGCTGGAGACAGGGACAACACACACCCTGACGTCCATGTAGCAAAAGAGTGTGTTTATTCCTCAAGCCCCTCTTTATAAAGGGGTTTGAAAAACCCAGTCTGGATAGCTCATTGGTCTGATCTTTGACACCGCCCAAGCTCCTGGACCAGCGAGATGTCTGCAGCTAAGGATGGAACGTAATTGGCTGAGGTTCCTGTCAGTCAACCCAGGGGCCAGGTTTATGGAGCCTGCAGGGCTTCTTATCTATAGCCGAATTAACTGCCCAGTGCAAGCGAGCTTGTACTGTGACATAATGTGACAGCTATCTACTGAATAAAGGAGTAATGATTATAAAGACATTTTAGTGCTAATTCACCAATAAAAAGCTAAATGCTATTCAACTTCTTGAAAGACAGACTGGGACAAAAAAGGGGCAGAATCTCTCTGGATAGACCATTCTGATTCTAGAATGAAAAGCCTGAAGAACCATTAGGCTGCTAAAGCCTGCTCTCCAATTCCCAGAACACTCCACCAGCACAGCTGGGAATCCAAGGCATCAGCTCTGATGTAGTAGACAGCAGTGTACCTCTGTACAGGGAGATCTAACAGGCATAGAAAAAAACCATCTCACATACTCAGAGACAACAGATTGTAGAAATCAATACAAAAATCATGTCCAGTGGGTGATTTTTGGTACCGTATTAAAAAGTGCTCTGAGAGAAATCAGCGTGATTTTACATTTGTTGATGATGCTTTAAAGAGACAAAAAGGTACTGTGAGTTAAAATTAAAATATTAAACCCCATACCTTTTAATTTTCTCCTCTTGCTTATTGGCATACTGTTTGAGTAGGATATGGTCATCACGTAGACGAAGAAATCTGTCCTCCAGTTCCTCTCGACCGATTCTTGATATGACTTGTCGAGCTTTTACATTCTGTGTAGATGATGATTCTACCCAAACCAAGGCAATTTTAAATTACCTTCAATACATTCAATAATAACATAACTCAAAGTCTAAATCACTTTGAAATTCTGAAAAAAAATTAACAAAAAATTTCGAGTAAAATGTATTTTACACTTGTTTCAGTCTACTGATTAATTTCCTCAGACTTATGGGCATGTTAATAACTTCCTTTTTCCTTTCTCTAAGAGACTAAAAAAAAACCATAGTTCAAATGATGCAGCAAACTGATTACTTACCAGGCAATGCAAATATAACAATTTAGCAAGCAACTAGGAATGGTCAAACATAATTAAAAGATAGGATGAACATTACCATTGAGATGTTTTCTAATGTTTCAAAGTGAACATACTCTCTTGAAGCTTGAAAGAATTAACTCACAGTTGTGAAAACGAACTCAAATACAAGACTAAGCCCAGCAGTCTCATTCAATAGCAGCTGAGTAATATATAAGAATTGCACAGTACTTTTGGCTCCCATTTTCTTAAATGGATCTGACCTTGTCCTCAGTTCTGCAAAAAAGCATTCTCTTTCCTTCTAGAAGGATGAACGTTATAGTTTGATGAGTTTTCCAGTTTTTAGCATCTCACAGCAACTTCTCTTTACAACAACCTACTTGAACACAGAATGAGTCACTGTACCTTTCAAAATTTAACCCAGATTTTGATCTTCATTTTGTGAAACATTTTTAGAAAGAAGCTAAGGAAGCCACTGAGCAAAGTCTGCAATTGCAATAAATAGCATCTGGTACAAACCTTGTAATCCTTCAATTCCAGCTGGAGTAAGGACTGTATCTCTCACAGCAAGGTTCCCCACAGTTTCATCAGCTGAAACAGGCATGGCTTAACTAGGAATGACAAAATTCAAATGCTTCTCCATCTACAATTTAAACTGTGAGACTAGAATGAACGACAAAACATCATATAAAATGATGGCTAAAGTAATGACAGATTCACTGGAATGACTGAGTCATGTATTACTGTAAATGTTCCTATCTCAACTGAATTCCTCAGAGGACAATCAAAACCGTCAAGTTTAACATTATGCCATTTTTAATCCATGCACAAAATATGGCTTATTTGGTTATGCAGCAGCTAGCTCCAATTGTATTTAATGCATGCATAATGCATGAGCTTTTGAAGTTCTAGACTGTTTTCAGCAATCTTTGGGCTAAGGACATATTTCCAAGTGGATGTGGGAGGATCTGATGGGGTTTCTTCTGTGTCTTTGTTTTTGGGGTGTTTTATTCAGTTGGGTTTTTTGGGGGGTGTTTTTGTTTTGGTTTTTTTTGTGGGTTTTTGGTTTTTTAAAATTGATTGTTCATTTTAAGTCATGTCGAAGCTTAAGGCATCAACTGATAGGTGAATGACATCCTTCACATTCTGTATGGGACTCTAAAATGAGGTGCTGGGGGTTATGAAGCCATTTCAGTATTACCTGCCAATCTCTTAGCCTTCTTTCAATCACTGTCCTAAGAGAAATTACTTTTTAAAACAGAGACATTCCTATGAATGATATTCATAAATCCAAACACATTTCTTTTTTAAGACACTAGAAAGATCAGCTACATGACAAAGTGAGATTAGGAAAGTATTAATTAGATTATTAATCACAGTAATACATGAAGATACTGCTGCTTTTTTCTTGTCTTCCAGTGCAGAAAATTAAATGTTGGCCAGAGAATTAAGGAATGCTGAAACAACATGAAAAGGAGGCACATTAAGTTCTTAGGATGGCCTTTCCCCCCCACATTGAAACATCCTTCAGATGATATAAACCCTTAGCGAATCCAAAAATATCTAGGAATCTATTGGCATATTAACAGCAATGTTAAAAAGACTTGCAACAGAAGACAGAAGTGACATAGTACAATCCACAGACATTCCACGAAATATCTCTTAATTTTTTCATGAAAACTATTGCCTATGTGATGCCTTTCTTCTACCAGCAAATCCATCTATTATAAACTAGTCTCCATATAGCTTTGTCCTAAAAGAACAAAAAGGATTAATGGAAGTTCCGTTTCCAACAAGTCAGTCTTGCTTTCAATATTTTTCATCACTAAAATTTAGAATAAAATAACAATACCTGGACAGATCCAGATGCTATGCTGAACCTTAAAAATTTTAATCAGATTTTATTTCTAAGAAATAAACCATACAGTCACTTCAGCACTTTTGTTAATCAAAAATAAGTGAAAAGAACTTCACATAGAAAGAGAGGAAAATTTTCCATATCTCTAGAATTAGCCTATAAGAACTTCCAGCTCGATATAAAGAAGAATTTTATTGTTACTGGAGTTCAAGAAACTAAAAGTTTCTTATGTTTCTATCACCATCTGACAAATTACAAAACACTGCACACGACTTTGCTGAGTTATGCGAGACCAGCCTGTAACGAGATGAATGCTTAAAACTAGAGAATCAAACCTCATGCTTTAGGTCCAAATTTTTATGTAGGTCACAGAAGCAATCTGTTGCACCAGCATCATTCCAAAGTAGCAAAACTAAAGATGGATTACCTAAATTTTAAAAAGTACTCAGCCAGTGGGGTAGGAAGCACTTCTAGGGAAGGAGGTTTTAGGGAAATCTTAAAAATTACGACATCTAATTGTTTCAATGTGGATATAGAATTTCATGAGTCTTGTACATGGTCAAAATGATGCTTTTCTTGCTATTTTTCCATACTCGGGCAGGGTAACACACCTCCCGCTTGAACGCAGTGGCCAACTTCCGCTTTTTACGTACAAAATAGACACTGCAACCGAAAAGGCCTCTCGGGCTGTTCTAAATAAAGCGGTGAGGCACTGCCTTTCCCACGGGCATCGAGCTGCGCGCGAGCGGCCTCACGGGCCTGACATTTATCGCTTCATGAGCTCCGCCGCAGGCTGGCTCCCCGCCTGGGGACAGCCCACTGCAGGGAGCGGTG